TCAGTAAGTGCTAACAGGCCCTATAATTCCAACTAAACTTTGTCTTCTAGACAGTAACTACCGTTTAGAGTTGATGAATGGGTGCCCGTGTTAGGCAGCTTTACTCCTGAGATTTTCTTGGCCTTCTGTCCTGCACCACACTCAAGCACATGTAGCAGGTGGTTCCATCAGACAAGAGACTTTGTTCGACATACGCCAGCAATGTGTGTGTGTGTTAGTTCGGTTTAACGCCGCTTTTAACATTATTCCAGTTATATCACGGCGTGTCAGCTTAATGTGGGAGGAAAGCCCGAAGTGATGCATGTCTCAGACGGTTACCACTTCGGTGAAACCCACGAGCACGGGTATGGTGCTGACAAACCTAGAAACATAATCGGGGCGAACCGGGATTCGAACCCACAATCATAGGTTTCTGGCTGGCCCAAGGGACGCAACTCTTCACAGCGAATCGCTGCGTCTTAGACGACTGGGCCACCCGTGCCGCCTACGCCAGCAATGAATGGGTACTCGGTGGGATACGATGTTTTTTCTGACTGTTAGCCTTTTAGCACCTCACAGGCAGATTGGGTTGTAAACTTCCAAGGGAGCTGAGACAGAGAAGTCGAGTGCACACTGATCCATTCACCCAGGTAATAATGGTGGGAGCTTGGCTCCTATAGTGCCTTACACATATCCCATTTTTATTATTATAACATACAGATTAAAATAAATAAAATGCAGCAAAGAGGGTTTTGGTGAACCTGGCACTGTCAGGCTGGTTAGGCTCATCATCAGCTGAGGGCCCTTGACCCCTCTACACGCATATTTGCCATGTTTTGCCTGAATCTTATCAATCACATTAGTGTTAAAAGGGACAGAAATTCAATGATATACATGATTAGATTGGTTTTATCAAAAGGGACATGATCAGGTTTGTTGGCCTGGATACGTCTGAGGCTGTATACGGGCCTATTCCAAAGAATTTTGTATTTATCATTTTCCATGACGCCCTCTACATATATTTTCAAATTAAAATATAAAATGCAGCAAAGAGGGTTTGGGTGATCCTGGCACAGTCAGGCTGGTTAGGCTCATTATCAGTTCAGGGCCCTTGCCCCCTCTACACGCAGCCCAGACAGCGAATGGGACTTCTCCCAGGAAGCGCTGCCTAGTCAAACCCACCCAGCACTTTTCGGAGAATGTGAAGACTCCCCAACACTATTGTCAGAAGGGATGTACTCCCAGGTACTCTCCTAATGTCAGTCAGCAGATTGGGGGGTACCAAACCTAAGGCACCAAGAACAATGGGAGTCGGACAACTTGGTACTGGGGATGCGAGCGTGACATTCGAAAGCGAAGTCTGCATATTTGCCACGTTTTTCCTCAATATTGTCAATCACATTGGTGTCAAAAGGGACAAAAAATTCAATAACATAAATGACTTCATAGGATTTATCAAAAAGGACAAGATCAGGCCTATTCCAAAGAATTTTGTATTTATCATTTTCCATGACGCCCTCTACATATTCCGGGTCGTAACATGGGTGGACCTCTGTGTCAAAACCACAAGCATTGCGAAGACGGTAATAAAATGACCGAGCTTCACTTTCATGTCGTTTAAGATACTGTGTTTGTGCCAAAGCTGGGCATCCACACTGACAATGTGTTGGGCAGTCTCATTAAATTCATTACATATCTTCATTTCATATTTAGTGGGATTTACATTTTGATGCAAAATCACACATTGACGGTTTCGAGTTAGAAGTGACTGGTCCTGAGCAGCAAACTGAAAGCCTTCGGTTTCACTTTTCACCCAGACGACTTCATCCAAGCGAAGGACTCTGCAGGATTGCCAATCTTCCCAACACACTGCACATAAACTCGATGCAGTGATCGTTCAGATAGCCTCTCCTTGAAAAAGTTTTGACCGACTTGATATGGCACTTAGCTTGGTTGACACTCATTTCTGTACCGTCCAGAAGTACAGATCTATCAACAAAATACAGAAATACAGAGTTTTGACATGCTTCACAAGAGGATCATCAGACAATAAAATGTGTGCAAAAGTGCTCAAAACAATTCTATCACGTTAATCAAACCACGTCCTCCCATAATGATTGGTAAATATAAACGATTGAGGGAAGAGCGACGGCGGTTGGATCTATTGTCTGACATTATTCTTCGTGTGAGGGTGTCAATACCCTGGATTTCCTTTTTCGTCCAATCAGCAACACCAAAAGAATATAAAATCACGGGCACAGCATAAGTACTTGTGGCTTTTACTTTATTGCGAGCGTTCAGCTCTGAACTCCAGATTTTCTTAAGTCTACATTTGTACTCTGCCCGAAGTTTTTCCTTCATATGGGCATTCTGGAGTTTGTCCCTAATCTGCATCCCTAAGTACGTATAGGCCTGACCTTCCACGAGATGGTCAATAACACCGCCTCCAAGTAAATTGACTGTTCCTCCCTCTTCTACCTTGCCACGTTTCAGACGAAGAATGTTGCATTTGTCGAGTCCAAAGGATAGGCTTATTATTATTTACAGATAAAAATAAAAAATGCAGCTAAGAGGGTTTGGGTGATCATGACACAGTTAGGCTCATCATCAGCTAAGGGCCCTTGTCCCCTCTATACGCAGCCCAGACAGCAAATGGGACTTCTCCCAGGAAGCGCTGCCTAGTCAAACCCACTCAGAACTTTTCGGAGAATGAGAAGACTCCCAAACACTGCAGCCTTCTCCCTTACCCAGATTGTCAGAAGGGTTGTATTCCTGGAGCAAACCCCGCTACTCTTCCAATGTCAGTCAAAAGTGACATTTCGTAACCGAGGTCCGCATATTTGCCATGTTTTATCTCAACCTTGTCAATCACATTAGTGTCAAAAGGGACAGAAAATTCAATAATAACGTAGAACACAGAATTTTATTTGCTTCCAACAAAAAATAAGGAAATTGATGAAATGATAGTGAAGGTGTTATGAGATAGTGTCAGAAAATTTAATTTCGGGTGTGTAGATCAATATCTGTTGTGTCCACCATGTTGGGCGATATATGCACGACACCTTGGTGACATACTGTTGATGAACTTTCGTATGGTTGTCCTTGGTATTGCCCCGATACTGCCCAAAGAGCTGGGCCACCTTGGCGGGCGTCGGGTCTCTGGCGTACACTCTCCACCCGAGAATATCCCACATCTATTTGGGACATGTCCGGGGACTTTGCGGGCCAGTCCAATGTCCGTATGCCTTCTCGTCGACCTGGGCACGTTGTGGTCCTGTCATCTTGCAGTTCAATGTTCTGCCGATAATTCTAGAGATTGGAACAACGAGAGGACGCAAATGTCCATTCACAGTACCCAAATCAGTTCGCCCGTCATGTGTGAAACCCCTTACACCATGACATTACCGCCCTCAATTCTCGTGGTCAAGAATTGTTGCCCTGGCATACCACTCGACATTACGTCGCCAACGTTTTCAGTCAGCTATGAATCAGCGCCAGAACCTTGATTCGTCTGTAAACATTGGCTCACAGCCCGTCCCTGGTGTTGACTAGCACACCCCAATCTTTGCCGTCTGTGGTAGGCAGGGTCACACGTGTAACAGGACGCCTTCCTTTCAAGAGTACTGCATACAGCCGTTTCTTAACGGTATACGCTGAAATTCGCCTTCCTGTTATTTTACAAAATTTTCTACTGATAACAGGAGCAGATTTGAATTTGTTGAGTAGTGCACTTAATGAGATGATCTAGGTGTCGTTGTTATAGGCCTGCCACGCACGTGTCATTGTAATCCCTGCCGTTTGGCATTACTTGTCCTTCTGTCGCCAAATTACATTTTTGCCAAACATTTGGGCAACGTCCCCCCTCTAACCTACCATTCGCCATTTTGTTTGTTCATTGAGATGATGTCTCGGAGGCATTTTAAGCATGTGCTTAGCTCAATTGCATTACTTTGGCTTCCGTGTGCACTTGCATCACGTGCTGTTCTTGCATGATGTAAAATGGCATGGCGGTTAGATGTTGCTCTCAGATGCAACACCACGGTATTTAAATGTACATCTCAATGATAGCTACATTCAAATCATTAGTTCCCTTATATTTTGTCTGTAGCATATTATAACAATAGCTTGAAAATTCATGTCACAAGAAATAGTGACTGACAAGGGGAATTGCATTATTATTGATTCGTCTCCCTTCGTGGATTTCGAACTAGAAGTGACCCCAGGAACCTGTGCTGGTCGTAGGAGGCAACCAAATGGATCTGATGGTCAAACTCAGTGACTTGGTTGACAGCGTGACTGTCATGGGTGTCGTGGATTATTGCTCACAATATCAATTGCTGGATTATCTGTTCCAGATTCGATTGTTTGCAGTCCGCCACCATGTTACTGGAATATTGCCGAATGAAGGTAAACAACAAAGAAATAAACAAACAAACATAAATCCGGTCAAATTGGTCAATATTTTTAAACCTCTCGAAACTGCAATATCAAAGAGCCCATATATTTTGTTACGTTAATAGGTATTTAGTCTCCCAGCTTACAAAGTGACGTCAAATAAGCAAATTGATGGATTTATATTCAAATACGTTCTAGCTTATGGATACGTTAAGAATACAATTTATCAAATTAAAGATATCATCAGTAGTAACAGTAATCATTGCCTTTACTTCTGGATATGCGAGGAAGGTAGACGAAAAAGTACACTTCACGAAAACACTGACATAAATGTAATCGAGGTATTCCAGCAACACATTCATGTTCGTGTTATGCCAATATAAATTTGAATTATTCTGCACGGAAAGGCATTTTCATTTATATTATTACGACACTTGTATAACTTTGATATAATAAAAATATGAAACGCAAACATCAAAGTGGAACATAAACTTTAAAATGGCCCCAGCTTGAAGGCTACAACCTTTCATCTCACTAAATCACCACATATGTAATCAACACGTTTCCTTCAATTTGCCTTGGTATCAACAAGAAAGGAAAATATATGCCTTTGATGTGAATGTTCAAGAGTAAAACTGAAAAACAAACAGAACATGCTTGGAACACACGTCTTTGAAAAGTAAGTTTGCTTTGTCTTGATGTCAATTCCCCACGTCATTTTCCTTGCCCTGACTCGTAATATAAAGGCCCGGTTTCCTCCCGATCAATTACAGCATAGCCTCATCTGGGGATATCGACAAACGATGATACCCAAATTATGCCTGTTTTTCCTAACAGTCATACAAATATCAGCAGCCATGGAGTTCCAAAGCCTACTTCCATCTTCTTTTTCTCAGAACCAATTTCATCCACCTTCAGATACTGGCAAAGAGGTTAAGAATGCTGTTAATGGTGTAAGGAGACATGAAATTCGCCTTGAGAAGCAAGAAGAACTTCTGGAAAAGCAGGAAGAGCGCCTGGGTCAGCTGAACGATTCACTGAAAGCCCATGAAAAACTCAATGAGGTCCAGGATCAGTTGTTGTCTACGATGCAGGCATCACAACTGGACGAGAAGTCGCGTTTGTCAACCATTGAAGAAAAGCTGCACCAGCTGGAAGATAAACTCGTTATTGCTGAAAACGCTAGCAGTCCACTCACTATGTCCACATCATCGGATTCTGTGGAGCAGGATGGCGAATCTGGTACTGACGGAACCGTTAAGAAGCGGCAAAGCGGTAAGTTTTCTTTGCTATACTATTATCAGTATTGAGGTGTTATATCTTATATTTTTTTGATTCCCGAACCAACTATTGCACACATGCAGTGCACAGTTGTCCCACCTGGTGTATTGTCTGGTTGTATTCATGAAAGAAAACATATGAACAAGAAAAGTTGAGAACGGAGACAACCCCTTGAGTTAACGGGATTAATGTATCAAGCCATCACATGTTTCACATTTTAGATGAATTTCATTTCGTACATAATCTATCCTTGAGTCAAGTTATTAAGTGCCTAAATTATATAGTAAATGTAGGGGCTGTGTTTCTATAACGCACTTATATTAAGTATTTATTTGACCAGGTACAGTATTCTTCTTTTTTTTAAATGTGACCTCTTGATTAATATTCTGTGGAAATATATTCTGGGAGCAAGGAATTATTTATTATCATGACAAATATCAAACTATACAGGATAATGAAAACAACTTTAGTCCAGTATTTACGAAACAAAATAAGTTTGGTTTAAAATGGTGGTACAAAATTTATCGTGTGTGGACATTATAAAATTGTTCGACTCTTCCTGTCATTGCCATGAATTGTGTGTTGAGGTGAGTGAGTGAGTGAGTATGGTTTTACGCCGCTTTTAGCAATATTCCAGCAATATCACGGCGGGGGACACCAGAAAAGGGCTTCACACATTGTACCCATGTCGAGCGAACGTTTCAACCACTAGGCTCCCCGACCGCCCCGGGGGACACCAGAAAAGGGCTTCACACATTGTACCCATGTCGAGCGAACGTTTCAACCACTAGGCTACCCGACCGCCCAATTGCGTGTTGACACTGATACAGAGCAACAATACCAATCGCCCTCCTCCCAATCCATAGATATTAAATGGTCAGTCCCTCAGACTGCTTGATAGAAATTCCATCTTCGGTATTTTCAGTAAACTTCACCTCAATTCAGGACGCGGGTCTATCCTTCGCTCTCATTATGGAAGCAATGGAATATTCTGAAGTAAAAGAACGTTGTGCTCAAATGGTTGATGGGGGTCGACTGATTGCCCTTGACTCAGAATCCAAGTTTCAAGCCATGAAAACATATCTGACCGACAATGTGGGTAAGTACTATTATGTGATGAAAGTGATTAAGTACTCACGTGTAAGTTCCCAGTATCCAGCAATTACACGGTTTAAACACATCGTATCAATGTAGGGTATCAAACTTGGATATTTGGCTTGAGGAACGAACACTTCACCCAAGCGATCCAACTGGTTACGCTGAAACACGTCCGTTAATGCAATTAAACTGGATATTATTTTAAGAATTCTAATTTTGGATAGTTGGTTGATTACGGAGCAGTGATCAACGGGGAAAGAATATTCCTATTGTTTACATTGACCTCTGTAGAATACATTGAACATATCTGCAGGTCGGAGTTATTACTGACATATACGATTAACGTCAGGTTTAGTTAATTACATTTTACAGCGCCCTGTATATGTCGTGCTAAATATGATAGACAATAAAAACGAGGGGAAAGGGAGCACAGTGGTTAAGGAGGAGCCGCAGTTCTTTGCGCAGGTGTCGTGCCATAGAATTGAAAACTCAACCGTTACTCTTCTTTCACATCTGTTACGTATCTCCTTCGGGTTGAATCTCCAGGAGAGAAGTGAAAATTAGATTAGGCCATATTTCTTGCCCAAATATACGTAAACGCTATGGGCCAGTCAAACCAGTGTTTGTAAGCATGAAGCTTCGGGTAATTACAACACCCATGTCACATACAGTAAACTACGGTTATAACGAACTCAAAGGGACTACTAATTTTAATTCTTTATAACCGTAGTTCGTTATAAGCATATATACAGCATAACTACAGCAAATAGCCGGGACCAAAAAAGTAAGTTCGTTATATCCGTCAGTTCGTTATAAGCGTGTTCGTTATAGCCGTAGTTTACTGTACTTTTAAAACCCGATCCTTATTAGTCAGCGTCATCAACAGTTAATGTTTTGTGAGTTGGTTAGTCAGAATACTTTTATGATGAAACCATGGCTTCGCTCACATTCATGACCTAACCTGCTCACCCAATACAAATCAATGAGCTCTCTATTCCTATTGAATTGTCACAAACGTCTCCAGGAATTATTTCGCCTTAAAATAAGTTATGTTATTGTGTACGATGTAAACATATATGAACACTTTTAAATTTTATTTTCATTTTAGATGGGAATCCTAACTTCTACGTTGGGTTAAAAAAGGCACGTGGACAGAAGGTACACCACTGGTCCACTGGAAAAAAGCCTGACGATAACCTTTGGTGCAAGGGACCTGGGAAGAAACATGCATATCGTTGTGCGATCCTCAGTACGAAGCACCGCAAGGGATACTGCCTTTCTGCGAGTAGATGCAAAGTTAAAAGATACGCCATTTGTGAGAGCCCTTTGTAATACCGCAATACAGCACGGTTAGTCGTGCCTACATTCAATAAAGTATGCATACCTCACATTATTTGTTGCTATAAACACAACCCCCATGGGTACTCCGAGTTCAACCTGGTCCCCGTCTAACTATGCTGCTCGTAGGATGAGACTTAATGTTCGGTGATTTGTTTGATTGCGTTTCAATGTAAACCCAACGGTTCATAGCAGCAATCAATTATTTGGCAGGTCAAACTCGAGTATTTGGAAGCCGCCATCATAAAACGGCGTTGAAAAATATGTTTTGAGCAGCCTCATATACAGCCGAGATCACAACATATTGGTGAATGTTCTTTATACCAAGTCTACACTAAAGTCAACAATATTCCAGCTATGTCGTGGCAGCCTGTAATTCATCGAGTCTAGCAAACCTGTGAATGATAGCGTAATTATATAAAAGCGACAAAACCCTTTTCGAATTCATAAGAAATCGGCTAAAAGCAGAATCTGCTGTGTAATTCCGACAGTCTCATGACCTTAGCTTTATGAATCACTATTAAATAGTGATGACACCAGGTGTTCGCGAAATCAACTGCCTCTGCACCCGTCACAAACACATGCAAAGGCAAATCACTTGTTTGATAGGCATTACTTAGAAGTTGGCGGATGACAAGATAGACACAATTTTATGGATAACAACTTCTTTAATACTGTAAAAAGCGACGTTTCGGTATAGATCCAGCTTGACAACGGTATAAGGATCTATACCGAAACGTCGCTTTTTACAGTATTAAAGAAGTTGTTATCCATAAAATTGTGTCTATCTTGTCAAAGGCAAATCAGTTGTGAATTATATCGGACATATTTTTTGTCCTTTAAAAGATGTGAAATGTTGACCAAAGCCAAGAACTGCTTGAATAGTGCTTGTCATAAACTTGAAGCCACCCCTCTTATCATACAGTCTTGTGGAGAAGTTTTTGGTCATTCTGAATCTTTATGCATAGTTCTAAATATGAAAAATGTAATGCGGTCTCACTAGTCTGCTTTTTTTTCTAATTCATGGACGGGAATTGGTTACTGAACGATATCAGATCATCGATATACCCGAACCGTGAAGATCCGTCTTCGGCAACCCTTGCTTGCACTAATAGGCGACTATGCTTGTCGTAAGAGGCGACAAACAGGATAGGGTGGTCAGGCTCGCTGACTTGGTTGATGCATGCCATCGTATCGACAATTGCGTAGATCGATGCTCATAATATCATTCACTTGACTGTCTGGTCCAGTCTCTATTATTTACAGACCGCCGTCATAAAGCTGGAATATTGCTGAGTGCGGCGTTAAACAACAAACAAACAAACGAAAATCGATATACCTGAAGCTTAAAATAAACTTCTTGGCCAAACTGCCTTGTTTTAATTTTGCAAATCCGAACAGAAATCCCGATTCAGATGCATAAAGAAACAGAATAGCAAGAGTTAGTGAGCGAGTTCGATTTAACGCCGCTTTTAACAGTATTCCGGGTACATCGGGTGTGTCAGTTTGATGTGGGTGGAAAGCCTACGAGCACGGTAATGTTGCTGACAATCCTAAAAACATAATCGGGGACATCCGGGATTCGAACCCACAACCATGCGTTTCTGGCGACTGGTTATGATGCAATGCCATTTTGTTTTCAGAACAAACATTCAAATTTCTATGGTATTATGGGGGGTACGGGTGGCCCAGTCTAAGGCGCCGCGATTTGCTGTGCAGAGTTGCGTCCCTTGGGCACGCCAGTATGATTGTGGGTTCGAATCCCGGTTCGCCCTGATTATGTTTCTAGGTTTGTCAGCACCATACCCGTGCTCGTGGGTTTCACCGAAGTGGTAAACGTCTGAGACCTGCATCACTTCGGGCTTTCCTCCATCATTAAGCTGACACGCCGCGATATAACTGGAATAGTGTTAAAAGCGGCGTTAAACCCAACTCACTCACTAGCTTTACTTTCATCTTTTAACTTTGACCAAAAAAATTGAGTATGTATTATTTGGGGGATAATCCCCTCTTTTAAATCAACAAACTAATTGCATTGATCCTCACACAGAGAATCATTCATTTTCTTAAAATAACAAATTAGTTTGATGTTAATGATAATATCCTTTTCTATAACCTAAAATCAATTGGCATTTAATCTTTTATATATCATGTCAGTAAGGTCTGGTTTTAACCTCTCTGGTTATAATGCAACATTTTCCGCTGGACTAAAGGTGGCATACCCAGGGAGGTTAAAACCATTTTGGTTTTATCTTCAGGGGCTTACCTCCTCTGGCGAAAAGTAAACTAAAATGATATTTTTTCTGGATATATTACCAGAAAAAAAGGACCTGTCCACGATGAGAAAGTAATTTGGGGAGAAGGTATTCAAACCCATGCATCGCGTATATAAGGGTCACGGCAAGACCTGGATGGTGTGATTCCTGAAAAAGGCTGTTGTCCGTCTTCACGTGTGAGATCCGGCGTTGTTTTGTTGGAAAATGCCGCTCGTTTCCGCGTAAACGGTCCCTCACTGTCTGAGATGATATCCTAGGCAATCGTGGTATTGCCGCAGTTGTAGAGGTGGCCGTGGTGGTTCTTTCACGGAAGTGACGTAGCCGTATGAATCTGCCCTGTGCTCTTGTATTGATAAGTGGTCGATCGGATGTGGGAAGGTCCCGTGTGTCCGATAACAGTTCCACAGTTTTGTAATAGTGCTTGGTGCTATGTTGAAAAATCGGGCTACAGCTGAAGATGATTCTCCCGTTTGCAGTCGGCCGCTGGCGTTATTGCTTTGGGCTTCCGTCAGTCCCGGCATGTTTTCGCCGTTCACTTGCTGTTTGCTTAAGATTGTGATGGCATGCAAATGAATACCCAACGTTTTTTATAGCACAAGTGATATTGCACGTGGATGTCATGTTGGTGCGTTTCGGCGCCAGTCTCTCACGCGGTTATGCTTTTGCGATGTTTCTATCTTTTTACCAAATTTATGCAGTATCTCATTCTTTCCACGCAAATCAATCCCAATCCATGCAGAAATTACCAATTCATTTTTGGGATTAATTTTGTATGGATGTCGGCAACACTCTCAGATATTGACGATTTTACTACTTTTGCGTAGAGCATACCAATAATAAGTATGTCAGGAGATGTACCCACATTAGCACATGATTCGTCGTGTATGTATATCAACACTACAATGCATCACGTATTTAAGGCCTCATATCAATAATAAATACACAAAGAGCACCATTTGCACATATAAGATTATACAACGAGATGCAATGCCTCATTCGATATACCTTATGTGTTAAGATATTAGAGGAAGAAAAAGGAAGAAAAAAAACACAATTCACTTTTCAACGTTATCCGAATAGTATGATGACATACATAGACAACACTTGGACAGTCCAGTCTCGTTAATTCATGAAAATATGAAGGGACCTAATATTGATTTTAGAACATAGAGGAAGCACATAATTACATGAGTTTACTGTGTGTCGCGTTAACTATGTCAACAACAATATTCAAGAGCAGCCGATCCAAAGTTGAACATTTCCCCGCGCCGTCGCTACTTACTTCTCGTCCCCTCTCTCGATGGCGAAATGGCGCAAGTCGAGGGAGATGCTTGGCAGGATTGGGATTAGAATCACGATTATTTAGATCATTTATGGCAATATGCGAGTGTTTAAAAAGTAATGTTGCTGTTTTTAAAATGTAAATTGTCACTTCCACATGATAAAGTATACGTATAACAGAAACGTGTTGTTATGTGTAGGATGATAGATTCAAATGCATCAATATGTTTACTTTCAGGAAACTTGACTGCGACGTTGAGTTAAAACTCTTCTTGGCCTTCCAAAACTAAACTTTGGTAAAATACCAAGATATTTAAAAATGAGTCAACGTAATTGAACTAATCATCAGTTTCAAAACAACATCTTATACATTCGTCATAACATTTTGTATTTCGTACATTTCAGTCGATATTTGCACGGTACTCGTCGATTATATCAAAACCATGTGTACCAAGTGAAAGCTTTTGTGTATAATCTGCCTATAGATAGGACTTTGACAGGTCCATGTTAGATGCCTACTATCAGTCACAACAGAACTGATACATGGAAATAATTTACCCTTTCACAATCAGTACGGCAACCATTATACGTAGCTTATGATTTGTAGATATATACGGTAGGTTTATGTTGATGAATCGTACACATCAAGATTAGAACAGTGGTAAGTAAAATATACTCAACAACAAAGGTTCCTGTGACACCAATATTTTAGTGTATTTATCAAACAAGTCAAGTTTGGAATTCAATATTGTAGTACATGTATGGAATCAAGGCACAAAAACGCAGCTGCTACAGAAAAAACATGCATTCCATGCAAAAGTTGACTTTTATGCAAGTCCCATGCATTTCACTACCCAAGAATGGGCATTAAAACATGTCCGTTAACGGGATTCCGTATGCATTGTTTAGCATCGTGCTGACAACAACCACTCAGGAAAACAACAAATTGACGCATTTATTCAACATTACGCTTATGGTATGGGGTGGGATTACAGCAAGACAGAGGACCCGTTTGATAGTGGTAGAGGGAAATCTCAATGGACAGCGCTACCGCGACGAGATCATCGGCCCTGTTGTTCCAACGTTTTTGCGTCGTCATGGCCCAGGCATTACCTTTCAACAGGACAACGCCCGGCCTCATATTACTCGACTTGTTCGGGATTCTCTTCAACAAAGCAACGTGAATGTCATGCCCTGGCCGGCTCGCTCCCCTGATCTCTCACCAATCGAGCACAAATGGGATGAGTTGGATCGGCGCCTTCGACGTCAACCACGTGTTCCACAGACACTCCAGGAACTTCGAAACATGCTCCAGCAGATATGGACAGATATTCCACAGGACTTTGTGCGACGCCTGGTCCATTCTTTGAGACAAAGATGTGTTGCTTGCATCGCAACCAGAGGTGGACACACACGCTATTGATTTATAAAATGACATTTTGGCATGTTCATCTTTCTAATGAAATCACGCATTTTCTTAAGTCAGTATGACA